ATGGCACGACGTTGGCCATCCGCGCGGACCCTCTGAGCATCCCAATGGATTCCTGCGGCCGTCCCAAGTAAGCGTTTGTTTATTCTGGGCTTCGATATTCGGTGGGGGAGGGGGGGGGGGTCTGGATCCGGGCCGGTGCTTCTAGTCGATCTGCTTCCACCAGTTGCGCAGGCAGACTGGGGAGAGGGGTCCTGACCAGTCGCCAGAGGCATCCGCCCAAAGCAGCCAAGCTCTTGTCTGAAGGGGGGAAAGGAGGGGGGGCGGGAGCCCGCGCCGATCGACGAAGCAATACATAAAAATGGAGACCAACGGATTGCATGCTTGTTTGATTTTTTGCCTGCTTGCTTGCTTGGCTATCCAAATCGGTTCCCTGAGTGTCCCAACGGATTGCTTGCGTGCCTGGCCATCCCAATGCACTTTTCGCTTGCTTGCGTGTTCGTTTCATCGCGTGCAGTACCCCTTGAGGGGAAACATACCATGCACCCTGCGGGGAATAATGCAATACGGCGCGTTGAGGCGGCTGTGGAAGAATGCCAAGGTCTGCCTGGTAGGGCTTTCGCAGTCCCGTACGGGACCGCCCCTCCCTCTACCCGCCGTCTGTTGCGTGACTCCCCCCCTGCTCACCGAAGCCACGTGCCTCGTGCCCGCTGGAGGATGGTGCACTTCCAGCACGGCAGCTGATGCCCAAACCCCCATTCTACGCGTGCCCGCTCGAAACTGGTGCACTGACGCCACGGCGCGCCCGCCTCGCCCCTCCCCTGAGCCCCTCCCTCAAAAGCTTCGCCCCGCCAGAGCGTCATCACTCGTACCTCGCTCTTTCCGCTATCCAATGGAGTCCAATGGAGTCCATGGAGCCTGGCAGAGTCACATGGAATGCAATAGATTCCTGCGGAGTTCATAGAGACCAGTAGAGGCCAATGGAGACCAGTAGACTCCGATGAATTCCAGTGCAGTTCTATGCGCATTCCAACATAATCCTCTGGAGATCGATCGAACCCAATTGATTCTGGAGTCCATTCTTTGTATGGACCCCAGCTTGCTTGTATCGGGAACCAACGCTGGGCACATCGTGTCTGGTAGGGTCCTGCATCTGCCCAGGGGTGTCTCCCGACCGTGCCCTCACAAAACTCGGAACAGCTTCACGACGCCCACGACGACCTCAGATGTCCAAAGATCGGCGCAGAGCGACGGCCACAAGACTCGCACAAGAGGCCCGAAGCCCAGGAAAGCAAATCATTGCCAAACAACAAGTGTGTACATATATATATATATATATGTATATACTAGATCATGCTGCCAGCTTGTTGGCTTGATATGGTTCCAGAGCGGCTTCAGAATGCCCAGAACCGACTGCCCCAAAAAATTCTGAAGATGGGCCCCGGAAAACCCAAGAAGGCCGCGAGACGGCCGTATGATCCCACTCCAAACACGGCCCAAGACCAAGACCGCCCCGAGACGGTTCCAAGAATGCACTAAGACCCGTCCAGACATCCGCAGGTTGGTTCTAACGAGCCTTCTTTCGGAATAGCTCAGTATATAACTCGCGCCCAAAAAGGACCAAGAGCCCACTGAGGGGCCATCTCAGTAGAACCATTGCTCAAACAGCCTGGCAGAACAAAAGCATCAATCAGCCCTTGTATGTACAAGGATTGAAACATTTCGGGCTACAGTGGCTTCAGGAAGCATTCAGAGAGCGCCCCGATCAGACGGCCAGGAGAAGCCCGCCTGATGGCCCGGGAGGCTCAACGAGGATCCCAAGGCGGCCAGACCAACCCCCTAAGACAGCCTCACGATTAGAAGAACGAGGAACAGCAAACTACACAAGCAAGAACTTTCGAAAGTCTGCGCGGACTTCTTGGATCGGCGCTGAATCCCCCCTCCCGCACGCGGAGCACGCCAGGGGTGCGGCGCCAGAGGCGCCGCCAGGCGGGCACAACAACACCGATCCAACAAACCCGCACGGAGCCCGAACAGGTTGCGCCCGTGCCGCTTCTTCTTCCTCTTCTTCGGATTCATATTATTGTGTTGTTCTCTTCTTCTTGATATCCTTCTTCTACTTCTTCCCCGAAAGGCAGGAGAGCCCAGAATCTAATCGATGTCGGACCAGCGATCGACATGAGTCGTGTCGTTGGAGCTCGGCAGCCGAGTCGGGAGCAGCCGAACCATGCAACGCAACGTCGGCAGGCCAGCGGAGCCTCAAGCATGGAGACACCCGAACCCACGCCGGAGCTCCGAAGTCGAGTCTGAGGAAATCAAAACATACCGATACCGCTACTCCCCGGACCTCTCCTGGGGACCTCCCCCGTCCTACCTATGGTAGTGGTGGTGGAAATTTGGCCCATCAGCCAAGGCTCATAGCAATCGGCTTTGGCCAGCTGCTTGGCAGAGCACGGGGAGGCGAGGGACTAGACCTGTGGGTGCGGCGAGTGCTGCTTGACCCCCCTCCGGACCAGCTCTCGAGCCGTGCAGATCTTAGGGAGGCCAGAAGGTGCCGATGGCGCTGCTCCCCGGATCTCTCCTGGGGTGCGTTCTGACCAGGACTTCGAGGCGAGTCCAGCGGTGGCGACGAGGGCCTCCCAGGAGGCCCCCCCAAAAGAGGAAAACGGGCGAAGGGTAGAGGCATGGGTACCTTGTTGTTCCTCCTCTGAGAATCGTATCGGCATCGGTTCGATCGAGATCCAGTGGCATCGAGCCGGAGCAGTCGACAGGAGCGCTGGACCAGGGAGAGTCTGCCCCGCGGGGCCGCGGGGTCCTCGCGGGAGCCAGGATGAACGGGGCCCTCGAGGTCCCCTTCATTTAGGGATGAAAAAACGACCCTACCCTGGGTTACAAGTGCGTGGTCTGTGAACCTCCTGGGAACCCCCAAAGCCTAGAGCCGCCAGGACGCGGCACATCACGCAGGGTTTACCCTGTCGGCCCACAGGAGTTTCAGCGCACAGCGCCCCGTAAACCAGGGTAGGGGCGTTTTCTACGCCCTTGACTTCAGGGCCCTGTTCGTCACCCCCTGTTTGGGTCACCCCCCCATTACCACCCGCCCGGCTCTGGCCTCGTCAGGGCGTCGGCGATCGACATGAATCGGATCGACGGGAATCGGTAGCCGAGTCGGGAAAAGTCGAATCGGAAGACATCGGCTGGCTACTGGGCCTCCATTGGGAAATCGGCTCCCAAATCGGAATCCGAAATCGAATCAAATCGGAATCGTAATCCATCGAAATCGGATCGAATCGAATCGGAGGAATCGAAATGAGCCCTGTTCTTGCCGCCTCGTCCTCGTTCTCCCGCCTCGTCCTCCTCTGGCGCCTCCTCCGGGCCAGCACCGCGGTGTGCCCGCGGCGCTGGGACTTTTGAGTTTGGCGCTGGTGCAGCGCCGGCGCGGCGGCGCAGGCATGCTGGGCGGGAACTCTGTTCTGCTCTGCTCAGCGCACATGCCTTACCTAGGGTTTACGTTGCTCCCATCGTACAGGACAACATCCCAGACCTATAGAAGAGTATCGAAACAGTGTCGAACGAGCATCGCCTCCCAGGGCCCCACACATGAAAGCCCTCCAACTTCGGTACTTTCCTGGTGCTCGAAATTCTTTCTGGTGCTCAAGGATAAAGTAAGCTGGCACATCGCAAACCAAATTAGGGGAAGAAGCGACGACGCACATATAAAACCGGGAGGTCCGCGCGGATTCCTCGGATCGGCGCTGGCGCCCCCTGCCGGCGCCTCCGGCGCCGCCCCATGGCGCGCTCCGCGCGAGAGGGAGGGGGGTCCAGCGCCGACCCGAGGAATCCGCGCGGACCTCCCAGGCTGGGTGCCTGTGTCGCTGCTTCTGGCTGCGGACCGTCCAGCTTTTGGGGGGAGGAGGAGGAGGAGGAGGAGGAGGAGGAGGAGGAGGAGGAGGAGGAGGAGGAGGAGGAGGAGGAGGAGGAGGAGGAGGAGGAGGAATCCGAGGTTTGGTGTCCATGTCGCCGCTCCTTCCCCACACCGCCCTGGCCGCATGCGCGGCCCCCTGGCGCCCCAAGGGCTGCCCGACAGGCACGCCCCACGCCCGCCCGCCCGCCAGACGCCCAGGCTCTCGCCAACGACGCCTGCGGGCCCCGCGTGCGCTGGGAGGACTCTCCCCCGAGGAGGCGCCCGAAGCGCGCCGCTCCTCCCGGCGCTCGCGCCGGCCGGGCGGCGGCCGTCTCCCGCCGCTGCTGGGCGGACCGAGGCGACGGAGCTGGAGAGCACCCGTGTGGGAAAGAGGCGCGCGGGTTGCAAAGCCGACGTGGGCGCAGCGTGCAGCAAACTGTGCGAGGCGTGCGCAACTGGGTTGAACAGGGAATGGGCGTGAGCGACTCCGTCTCTGGCCCCTCCTCCTCCTGCTCCTCCTCTTCCTCCTCCTGCTCCTCCTCCTCCTCCTCCTCCTCCTCCTCCTCCTCGGGCAGCGGGGGCAACCGGGTAATGGCAGTGGTCATGGTACATCGGCGAGCTCGCCGCGCCGCTGCGCGGCGGGCCCGAACTAAGTAGGCCCCTTCCCCGTCTGGGAGTGGACAATGATGGGCCGATTGTCCACCACCACTACCATAGGTAGGAGAGGGAGGAGGAGGAGGAGGAGGAGGAGGAGGAGGAGGAGGAGGAGGAGGAGGAGGACCTCCCCCGTCCTACCTGTTTTTTTCCGCTCTCGCGGGGCGCTCGCGCATCCCTGGAGGGGGCGGGCTGGCTCCGGCTGAGTACCAGCGGAACGAAGGGCGAAGCGTGTGAAAACGCGGCTTTCAAACTGCTCAAAGCCAGATCCACTGCCGCGTACTGGAGGAAAGGATCATCCCAAGAAAAGGCAGAGAAGAATAGCGGCTTGGGATCATTGGAAAACTGCGTGGAATACGCGCCGCTCACATTCAAACCGAGCTCCACCAAATCCCATTATCACCCAGATCGTGCACTGTAAATAGATTCCTCGCCCCGTCTCTATCCCTCGCGCCCATCCTCCTCCCTCCCTCGCTTCCGTCTCCGTGGAAACAAACGGGCCACATTCTCAGATGCCAAAGTCGCCAGCGCCATCACCAATGCCGCCGCCGAAGCGTGGGTCGTTGCCAGTCCACACGGCGAAGAACGCGATGAGCGCCCAAGTGCCCACGAAGAGGAGTGCAAAGAAGATCGGGGTGTCCCACTGGCCCTGCTCCTGCTGCCTCCTGGTCGGCGAGATGACGGCCCACATGTTTCCGCGCTTGTCCTGGTCGATGGTCTGGCCGACGGTTGAACGCTTGCCCAGGATGGACGTGTCGGGCGACGGCAGGTCGTAGTTGACCTCCTCCTTCTCCTTCAGCCCTCCCCCCTCGGCGCGCAGCGCCACGGAGGGCGAGCGGGCGAGCTGCGCCGCTGGCACGAAGGCGAGGCTGGACATCTGGCAGAGCGCGGCCAGAACACTGCAGATTGCCAGGGCTGCCGGCAGCAGAGCCGCGGAACGCCTGGGCGCCATCTTGCCCACGCTCACCTCTTGGCTGGCAATTTCGCAAAGCCCGAGAAGCCCGACGGTTGCCGTGGTCCGAAAAGCTTGAGCCAAAATGGCTGTGGAACCTCCCCCGTCCTACCTATGGTAGTGGTGGTGGAAATTCGGCCCATCAGCCAAGGCTCAGAGCCATCGGCTTTGGCCAGCTGTTTCGCAGAGCACGGGGAGGCGAGGGACTGGACCTGTGGGTGCGGCGAGTGCCGCTTGACCCCCCTCCGGACCAGCTCTCGAGCCGTGCAGATCTTAGGGAGGCCAGAAGGTGCCGATGCCGCTGCTCCCCGGATCTCTCCTGGGGTGCGTTCTGACCAGGAATTCGAAGCGAATCCAGCGGTGGCGACGAGGACCTCCCAGGAGGCCCCCAAAAAGAGGAAAACGGGCGAAAGGTAGAGGCATAGGTACATTGTTGTTCCTCCTCTGAGAATCGAATCGGAATCGGAATCGATCGATCCAATGGCATCGAGCCGGACGAGTCGACAGGAGCGCTGGAGGCCCCCCAAAAGGGGATATTGGGCGAAAGCGGTATGGGCACCTCTTCCTCCTCTGAGCTCTGGCGCACTGCAGCCGCGGCCCGAGCGCCTGCGTTGAACTCCTCGATCTTCTGCCAGGCCGCAGGCTCCTCTCGGCGGTGGATAGACCTCCTTCTAGTAAGCCTCCCCTTAGTGAGAACGGCCAGAGGCCGAAACCGACGGACCTGAGGACCCGCAAAAAGGACGGCCGCGGCGCCCTCTCGCGAACCGAAAGCGGCCCATGCCTCAATCGACGTGCCAGGGTAGGAGGTCTATCCACAGCCGGTCCTCCGTGGACGTGCAGGGAGCCTCCGCGCTCCGCCGCCCTCCCTCCCTGCCTTCCCCGGCGCAGCGCAGCACCAACCCGACTGAAACTGGCGGGCCGAAGACAGCCTGGAGTACGGTCAGACCTTGGCCGGGCGAGCATCCTTCAAGAGCATGGGACCCTCCGTCGGCCAAAACACACAGAACATCCAAGGGTACCCTCCCCAGGGTGCACAAGAGCATCCAACAGACACGAAGAACACTCAGGTACCCTCCCCGAACCGACCTCGATCTTAGTCGGGGATGGACAGAACCCCCTTTAGTAAAGGGCGCAAGCCTGGCAAATGACGGCCGCGGCACCCTCTCGAGAACCGAACACGGACAACTCACTAATCGACGTGTCAGGGTGGAGGTTCTGTCCACACCCGACTTAGACCTCGGTCCGACTGTAGCGCACCGGCGCGACAACCGACCAAACCAAACGAAAGCAGCCGAACGGACCGAAGCGTGCTTCCCTTTTCGTATCTCCCCCCATGCAGATGCGAGGAGCACGCAACCCCAGCACTTGCAACTGTTGTATCCGGAGACCATCAAGCACCGAAGCGGCCCAGCTTCCTCCTCCTCCTTCCCCTCCTCAATCAACGGAACCGCTTGGGCATGGGTGAACGCCCTGATCGGTGGTGGGAGGCGCACGCCAACTTGACTGGATACTATTGGCAATCGTATGTCGTGCTGATGCTGTCCGCGGCATGGGGAGGTCCTGCAATCTCCTCCTCACCGTGGTGCACGATGTCACCCGCCACGTCAGCGACGATCAAGAACGGGTCTCACGCGATATGACACAGCTACCTCACGCGGTGTCTTACCCGGGCCGCCGGCGCGGCACGCCACATTGGAGACGAGGGCGCTTACGCGCGATCTTACGCGGGCAGCTTACGCACCAACATCGGTGAAGAGGACACCGTTTTCTTCTGTCGCTCACGTGTCAACTATCACCCCAAGCGACTTCACAAGTGTCCGCCATAGTGCCTGCACGGAGTGGGCGTGTTAGAGTGTTTGTCTGCTGTTTGGGAAGTTCTTTGGAGTCTTATAGGGTATCCCCTGGCCACCCCTGCG